AAAGACTGAAATACTAGCATCTAATAGTGACACTGCAGGAGGAGCGCAATAGCGCTCCTGGCACTTTTGGCAAAAGACAGGAGGAGCGTGATCGAGCTCCCTGGTACTCTAGGGGTTAAAACAAATAATACAGTGCCATTTATACAGTTACAATGTTGAGCAACTCTTGCCTCCAGTTCTAAAACATTTCCATCTCTCTTTTTTAATTGTTTTATTGCTTAAAGTATTACAAAGAGTATTACATATGTCTCCTTTTTTTCCCCCGCCCTTGACAATCCCCTGGCCTCCCCTACCCCCCAGTGTCTTATGTCCATTGGTTATGCTTATATGCATGCATACAAGTCCTTCTGTTGATCTCTTACCCCCCTCTCTCCTTCCCCCCAACCCTCCCCGGCCTTCCCGCTGTAGTTTGACAGTTCGTTCGAGGCAACTCTGCCTCTGTATCTATTTTTGTTCATAAGTTTATAATGGTCTTTATTATCCATAAATGAGTGAGATCATGTGGTATTTTTCCTTCCTCGACTGGCTTATTTCACTTAGCATAATGCTCTCCAGGTCCAGCCATGCTGTTGCAAATGGTAAGAGTTCCTTCTTTTTTACAGCAGCATAGTATTCCATCGTGTAGATGTACCACTGTTTTCTAATCCATTCGTCTACTGATGGGCACTTAGGCTGTTTCCAGATCTTAGCTATGGTGAATTGTGCTGCTATGAACATAGGGGTGCATATATCCTTTCTGATTGGTGTTTCTGGTTTCTTGGGATATATTCCTAGAAGTGGGATCACAGGGTCAAATGGGAGTTCCATTTTTAGTTTTTTGAGGAAACTCCATACTGTCTTCCATAGTGGCTGCACCAGTCTGCATTCCCACCAGCAGTGCATGAGTGTTCCTTTTTCTCCACATCCTCTCCAGCACTTGTCATTTGTTGATGACAGCCATTCTGACAGGTGTGCGGTGGTACCTCATTGTTGTTTTGATTTGCATCTCTCGGATGATTAGTGACTTTGAGCATGTTTTCATATGTCTCTTGGCTTTCTGAATGTCTTCTTTTGAAAGGTGTCTATTTAGGTCCTTTGCCCATTTTTTGATTGGATTGTTTATCTTCCTTTTGTTAAGTTGTATGAGTTCCCTATAAATGTTGGAGATTAAACCCTTATCGGTGATACATTTCCATTTCTTAAAAGTAAAACCCTTTACTCATTAAACCATTTCTCCGTCAGCCCCTGGCAAATACAAATCTGTATCTGTCTCTATAGATTTATCAATTCTGGACATTTCATATAAATGGAATGATACAATATGTCACCCTTTGTCCTTCAGTTGCATAATGTATCCAGATGTAACCATTTATCATGTTCTTCATTCCATGTCTAAATAACAATTCATTCTATCTAATAAAAGAGTAATATGCAAATTAACCATCACTCCAGCACTCCGTCACAAAGATGGTGGCAGCCACTGAGCTGGAACAAGCAGGAGGCTTGGGTTGCCCACGGTGATGGAGAAGCCAAGATTTCCGCCTGCCCTGGCCAGCCCTGGCCAGTCGGCTCTGCTCAAGGCTACAAATTTTCCATTATAGAAGATAAATAAATCCCAGATACCTGCTGAAAAAAAAGAAAAAAAGGACAGGCTGGGAGCTTGGGTCACCAGAGGGCGTGGCCAGCCTGAAAACGGCAATCAGCCCCTCACCCAGGCTGGCCACAGCCCCATGGGGTGAGGGTCCCCACTGGGGGCTTGACCAGCCTGCAAACAGCCATCAGCCCCTCCCCAGGCTGGCCAGGCACCCCAGCAGGACCCCCCCACCCTGAAGGGCTGTGGCGAGCCTGAAAACGGGCATCAGCCCCTCACCCAGGCTGGCCAGGCACCACAGCGGGACCCCCCCCACCCTGAAGGGGCTGTGACAAGTCTGAAAACAGCCATCAGCCCCTCATCCAGGCTGACCAGGCACCCCAGCGAGGCCCCCACCCTGATCCAGGACACCCTTCAGGGCAAACCAGCCGGCCCCCACCCGTGCACCAGGCCTCTATCCTATATAATAAAAGGGTAATATGCAAATTGACCCCAACAGCAGAACGACTGGGAATGACTGGTCACTATGACACACACTGACTAACAGGGGGCAGATGCTCAATGCAGGAGCTGCCCCCTGGTGGTCAGTGTGCTCCCACAGGGGGAGCTCTGCTCAGCCACAAGCCAGGCTGATGGCTGCCAGCACAGCGGTGGTGGCGGGAGCCTCTCCCGCCTCCTCAGCAGCGCTAAGGATGTCCGACTGCAGCTTAGGCCTGCTCCCCGCTGGCAAGTGGACATCCCCCGAGGGCTCCTGGGCTGCCAGAGGGATGTATGACTGCCAGCTTAGGCCCGATCCCTCACCGGTGCCATCTCGACCTCACAAGGGCCGATTCAACCTCACTGGGGCAGTTGCAACCTCACCGGGGCCATCTCTGCCTCACCGGGGCCGTTTCAGCCTCACCAGGCCCGTTTCAACCTCACCGGGGCCGTTTCAACCTCACCGGGGCTGTTTCAACCTCTCTGGGGCGTCTCAACCCTACTGGGTCCATCCCACCCCCACCAGGGCCGCCTCAGCCTCACCGGGGCCATCCCAGCATCTCGAGGGCTGTCTCGGCCCTACGGGGGCCGCCTCAGCCTCACGGGGGCCGTCTCAGCGACATGAAGTTTGGCATTCTGTCCTTTGTTGGGCGGCTCCTTGCTGGACAAAATCTCCAGGTGTTCCTGGTGGCTAAATATCTGGTATGTTTGCTTGGATTTCATTTTCTACCAAGTGCACAGACTGCCTGTCTGCCGTCACCCAGCGTCCCATGTGATACTGGATCTGGTGGGCCTGCCTGTGCGTTTGCTGGTACAGCGGTTCCACATCGCTGGCCCAGCCGTGTCCTGTTCCGGCTTCCTCCGAACCTGATTCTGCTTCTTTATTGTGCCCCTTAGGTATGCGAGGAGTTGAAATCTGCATTCTGCTGGGCTGGGCTGCAAAAGCATCGGTGGTTCTCTTTGTGTCACTAGCACAGCTTGGTTGAGGATGTAATTTGAGTAGGGCGGGGTCCCCAGGAATCACCAGGGCGGGGCGGAGGGCAATGGAGTCTCCACTTCTACTGGCTTCTCCGCAACTCAGCAACTCGAGTCCCCGAGTGCCAGTGCCGGCAAGCAGTTCCGGAAGACAGCCACTCTCGCTCTCCGGTCGTTGCAAGGCCTTCCCGCTTCTCCCCGTAGGGGTCTGGGAGATTAGTATCCTGCGCCCCAACCACTCTCAGTGGATTTGATAGTCCACCTCCCCTTCTGGTTGAAAAAAACTTCGCATCCAGTTGCAGCCAGCCTGGCACGCGATTCCGTACCTCCATTCTTGGAGCCTCTGCACAACCTACTCAGTCTCAATGCTCTTCTTTCTTTCCTTCCAGTTGTAGAGCTTCCACTGGGCCAGCTTTCCCATGGTTCTGAATGGCTACTGTTTCTTTTATAGTTGGTAGTCTTGATGTTGTTGTGGGAGACAGCACACACAGGTCTGTACCTTATGCTGCCATCTTGGTTCTCAAGATCATTTCTCTTGAAATATTAAGGTTTATTGCATGTAACATTAAAAAAAAAAAAAGAATGAGAAGTTAAAATCAGAGCCTGACTCTACCCAGTGAGTGACTGTGGCCATGGGACTGTGTTTTTATCCTTTTAAGCTTATGTTTGCTTTTTCTGTTATTGGGTCTCTTTCTGTGGAGTAAAGAAAACAGTCAATCTCTTAGGCAATCTCAGAAGGCATGAGGCTAGGAAGAGACTGGAAGTGAGCCAGAGAAGGGGGAGTGTTAGTTGGAAGCAACAGGTAGTGTTTTAGAACAGAATTGAATGTGAGATAAGCCAGGGCACGGGGTAGGAATAAAGGATGTGATAATAGTAGAAATTTGTATGTGTTTGACTCTTACCAAGCACTGATACAGTCTATATCTAAAAGGGAGATTCCCAGTTAAAAAAAAAAAAAGGCAAATACAACCAAAATCCTCTGTTAAACTAAATGAGCCCCCACCAAAGTCTATCGTATTCTCAGAGATTCCTATACAAAATCCATGATAAGGCCCATTAAAAATATATATATATATTTCAGAGAGGAAGGGAGAGGGAGAGATAGAGACATCAATGATGAGAATCATTGGGCAGATGCCTCCTGCACACCCCCAACTGGGGAGTGATTGAGTCTACAACCCGGGTATGTGTCCTGACTGGGAATTGAACCGTGATCTCCTGGTTTATAGGTTGATGTTCAACTGATGGGGAATATAAGACATTGGGGGGGGGGGCGGGGGGCAAGACCTGTTTTCCTAATTACTCCCAGTTTACAAAGGGACCATAAGCAAAGAATGTAGCAGCTTAGCTGGAGGGGAGGTCACTAGCACCACCTGGACCAGGCATTTAGAGACAATCTAACTTGCCCATTCTGACGGACTCAGGAGGGGCTGTGGAAGCCACCACAAAAGCCTGGTAGTTAGGAAACAGAAAGCAAAGAAACCGAAGGGTATAAAGGGAAAGCTTCCTCCATATTCACAAACTCAGGATTTGGAGAACTGACCCCGAGTCACTGTCCTAGTACGTGTGAAACATCTGAAAATAAATGGGTTTATCCTGGACCTCTGAGTACTCCCTGTGTATTTTTCAGTCGCCTGGTAAATTCTGTAACACAACCACTGAGACACTCCGGCCCGGCAAGGCTCATTTTTAACATGTACCATTAGGTGATTCTATTGTATGTGGTCCACACACTTTGACAACCCACACTTTGAGAAACACAGTTCTATGAATATTTTATTTTATTTTTCTATGAATTTTTTATAATTAAATATTCTGCTTTTAAAATAAAAATAGATGTTTTTTGAGAAATAAAGAATTTTTTTTAAAAAGTCCAGAAAACCTCTTCTTAGAGAAATATTGCTTTATTTACTTATTCATCTTTCTTTTCCTCCCACGGGAGTGAAGGTTTCACTAGGCCTTTTGACAGGAGGGTCAGCTCTTGGAGGCCTGTGGCCTCCATTTCCTCATGGCCTCTTCCCATAAAACTCCTCGTGTTCCCCTTCAGGATCTCTATGAGTTGCTGGAGTCGTTTGGCAAAAGAAGGAGCTTCGGTAGGTTTAGTGAAAGGAGGAGGTGGTTGGGGTGGTGTTGGAGGGGTGGAGTGGGATAGGGCTGGGTCGGAGGAGGGTGCGGTTGGGGGTTGGGGTG